GAGGCTGGTGCTACAGCAGCCATGGCTACTACAGCCATGTCCACTTCTGCGCAGCAGACTTCCCAAGCCAGTAGTTCAGGTGCCGTCGGGTCAACGGTCACGCAGACCGTGAGTCAGTCCACTGGCTTAATGGCAAGCCAGGCAGCGATGTTGACTCTTGAGGATGTCGCCATCCAGCAGGCAGCCCTGCAGGAGGCACAGCTACAGCAGGCATTAGGGGAGATAAAAGCGGAAAAAGAAAAGATGATCAGGAGAAGAGCCAGGATGCAGCGAAGAGAGACGGATATAGAGGAGTTAGAGACGATGGACCTGACCAAAGCAACTTCAGGGATATGGTCATGACTTCCGCGCTTGGGCGGCCTCCCAGAAATTGGAGGACTTCCTAAAGATGGTGGTAGAAAGGTGGCATGATCCTCAGGAGGCTCAAAGGGCCACTGACGCGATCCTGACACTGCACACGAGGCAGTTTAAGTCAGTAAGGGAAGCCACCGACGCTGTTGAGCGTTTGATCTGTGTCCCTGGGGTACGCTATGATCCCCAGGTCCTGTTGACTTCGTAACTGAGATGTTTTTCTCAGCCTCTCAGGAACCAGTTGGCAAAAGAGGCCAACATCAATATGCACAACTTTCCTTCGTTTAGCAAGGTAGCCCTAGACCTGGAAGCAAAGATAGGGCATGGACAGACACCCACTACGGAGGGGAGAAAGAAGACACTGCCTCCCAACTGGAAGGCGAAGGGTCGCTTAATGTTTGTCGATAACGATGGTTCAACCATCGAGTTGGACGACAACATCCAGGAGGGAGTAGGTTCAGAGGCAGGCAGCCTAGACGCTTCAGAGGGTGGAGTGGTCGCTGCCGTAGCACAAAAAGGTAAGGCGACCGGTAGACGCCGCAGAGGTTCCCGGTCTAAGAGTCAAGTGGACCCCAATGCTCCTCCATGGGAGAAAGCGGGTCTCACAGAGGACGTGTGGAGAGACCGTTACTCTCGGCAGGCCTGTAGTCGCTGTGGCCAATATGGCCATAGCCAATTCAAGTGCCGCAACAAGAAGGTGACAGAAAAGATCCCGCCTACGATGGGGCAAGTGCTGGGATCCTCTCATCCCGTTGGTAGCAACATAGCCAGTACTTTAGGCAGTGCTCCGGGAAACAAGTCGGGCCAGTAGGAATTGTAGTTGTTCCTGCTAGGGTCGAGGTGGTGGAGACACCCTCACCATCCCGAGAGATGGCCCAAGCTACTGACTCCAATGTCGTCCCGCAAACACATTCAGACCCATCGAGCCTCTGTTCGATGAATGTGTTTGAATCCTTGGAGGAGTTAGAGGTGGAGTGGTCTAGATTAGACCCGCTAGCTTCTTGGACGGCCTTAGTCAAAGCTCCTAAGGGTGAGATGTTCGTCAACGAGGTTGTTATTGGCGGCCGCAAGGCCGGGGCCTATTATGACACTTGCTCGACGCGGAACTTTATTAGTCGCGCGTGCATTGAGAGACTGCGCTTACAGGGGCGAGTGCAGCGCCTGAGTCGACCTGTGGAGTTGACCTATGCCAACAAACAACGCATGGTAGTTAACGACTACCTCCAGGATGTAGAGTGTTGTTTCCCGTACGCGGGAGGGGACTTGAGACATCGTGTCTCGTTCCTAGTGAGCGATGAACTCCCCATGGACGTGTTGTTAGGTATGTACTACCTCTCTGTGGCACAACCCCAGTTTGACTGGGACCGAAAAGTGGTCAAACACACTTTGCCAGGTGGAGGGACCGCCAGATTACACAAGTTCAAAGCTAGTAGTCTGATCGAGTCCTACGGGTGCATGTGTGCGGCCGTGTTCTATAATTATTACAAGCAACAAGTGGACCCGCCGCGGCTCCGCCCGCGGCGAGAAGAGCAGGGATTGTGAGAATTGAGGAGAGGGGGAAGGCAAATAAAAGGAAAAAAAAAAATAGAGGTCAATCTCAGATGTCAAAAATGCCAATCTTCTCTTCCCCCTCCCCATCTCCTCCCGATTTTCTCCCCTCCCGATCCCGACGGCTCCTCCCCTCTTCCACCCCGACSTCGTCGCCTCGCCCCTTCCCCTCATCATCCCGATTTCCCCCCTCTCCATCCCGACAGCCCGACCAAACCTACAACGGACGTGATTTGTGTAGTTGCATGAAATTCGGAGCCGAAAAAATGAAAGGGAA